AAATTTGAGTAGGGAATTCTAGGTAGCCACTTTCCATACTCAATAATCTCTGGGCAGTTCAGCTGGCAAGAATTTCTTGTGTCCCGGAATCTACAGAAATGTTCAATGTTATTTCTTTCCTTGGTTTGGGGAATTATTTGAATAGGAAAAAATTCGAAGACGTGATACTCTGTTTCATCACCGCAAAAGCATTCAGTGCTTCCGGACTCAGTGGTGTCTGAGACATTGAGCCCTAGCTCGTTTGAAAGGCAGTTTCTGTCGCTCTATCTATTCAAGACTGACTCGACCGTGAGTACTTCCTCATCCGTTGAGAGGGTGACAGCACTATACTGAGACAACTCGCCCATTCTCTTCTCAAATTACTCGCCTCTTTGGGAAGCTGGTTTTTTCACGCTTATGTGCCTTAGCCACGGATCTTCTGACCATCAAGTGCAAAGAAGGAGACAAACACCTTATTTGAATGTGCAAGAATTCGTCGCTTCTGCTTAGCACCTAATTCTCAATAATGTTCTTGGCAACGAAACAAGTTTCTCTTCCGCGTACAGTCCAATCGTTCCCAGCACCTAGCCGGTTAAACTTCGCAATGGTGGTTGTTGCAGGTTTCCTGAAGATCCTGATTCGCTTTGCAACGTAACACCACCAGACACCTTGACGAAGCAAGCGAGTCGTTATTTCATGAAGAGCTAAAGGCTTGAACAATCCAACTAGTACAATTTTCAGTGGTAAATTAAAGAATGGACATCTGTTGATAAAATCAAATGCGCAAAAGGCGCACTCAAAACCGCGTCCGTCTATTTTTAAATTGTACGCGGAACGATCTTGTTATCGCGATTTCTGGATACCCCACATACATATACGTGCCGGCTCGACACATATGAGTCCCCGAACCTGCATTCGAAAATACTTTGCGCGAGGCAGGAATGTCTGCCGATGGTATACAATTTCAGTTCTGGCATATACGTGCCGGCTCGACACATATGAGTCCCCGAACCTGCATTCGAAAATACTTTGCGCGAGGCAGGAATGTCTGCCGATGGTATACAATTTCAGTTCTGGCAATATCCGACGTTCACACCCACATATGCTTTGCCATATACAGTAGCGGTCGAAAGTAACCTTTTTATTATTATTTAGTAAACCTTTTTATTTTCGATCTGGCGTCGCCATAGACAACGAATTCACAGACTATATAAGAAATCAAGCTCGATTACGATGAGCAGTATGATTTCTTGGAAACGCGAGTCGCAATTGAAAAGTACGAATTTTTATAAGAAAGTTTGGAAACTTCTCAATTTTCAAGCGAATTCAGCAAGATAGCTCTCGAGTCCACACGATAGATTGGTCATTCGTTGATTAGCTGCGAAATAGCTGCCAAATGATTCTAGTACTTTTAAGTCGAACGCTGCCTACTGTTGGATTCCTGACTGGAATTCGAACTGAGCGACACGTCAGCTCTTCCGTGGGATGTAGAACTTAGTAAGAATTCAGATCTTGACTTGGTCGCTTTATATTAGGCGCTTCAGAAAGTTCTGTCGTTTTACGACCCCGTATTTCAAATGCATTTATCCTGGCATAAAGAGAACCTTTCAAGCTGATTAAAAAACCATTTGAGATACCATTCTATTAAAAACGCTTATTCAGCGTGCTGGAGCTGTTGAGGCGATGAACTGAGGGAAGGTCGTTTGGCATCATGTTGGGTTTTGATGCATTTCTCTTCAAGGAAGCTATCGAGATCGTCAGAAATGTTGACAGTAGATAGACCAAAGGTCTACTAAGTAAGATGTTCGCAGAACCACTCTGAAGTTCAGCTGGTACAACTTGTGAAGGGTTGGCGGTGCGATGTGCGTCCAAGACACCTTTCAGGGATGTGTCCACCCCTTTATAATGAGGAATGCTGGACACATGTCTTGGAGTTTTTGGTGAATTTTGGCGTAATGTTAAGACTGCTTTTCCACTGTAACAGTTCCTGGTTATGCGGAAGAACCAGGCCAGCCGTCGACCTTATGAAAGTTGCCATAACCCTCCTTCAGCACAGTTTAAGTTTTGCACAGTTTGTAGAGCTCTATCGCCGTCGAGCAAAGCTTCGTGAACTGTAGAGAAGAATCCGCTATTGCTGCAAATCTGTAGAAAAACGAGTCGCTTTATCACATAAAACAAGCGACAATTTGATGGACGACCCTTCAGAATTGGTGATTTGTCGCGGCACGCTATCAAATTTTTTTGGACTTTCCAGCTACTTCCGTATAGCTTGGCTCTACAAACCATATACGCCCAGGTTGGGCAGAACCTCCTCTATGGTCTTACGCACGAGTGCCTCAATCAGAACTTTTGGCTAATCGGTGGCAACGTCCGATATCCGACCACCACTCTATCATACCCAAGGCTCTCGCTTTCGTTACAATAACTTTTTGAACTACTGCTTCTGAGCACATTTATTGCGAATCTAGGCCAAGTGCATCGTTAATATCTTGAACTGTTCCCGCTACTTTCAGGTCTATTTAAAGCTAGAAAAAGAAAGTCATGCCAACTTGCTCATCGAGTATACCGCATTCAAAGCTTTGAAAAAGCTATGAGAAAATGTTTTAGGACAAAGCTAAGCTAAGCATGAGATAGCAGGAAAAGCTCTTCAAAACGGCATTCATACCGATTGCAGTTTTTCTGGGTTTAAAGGAAAATAAGCATCCTGAAGTAGAGTGTCAAAAAAGGCAGATTTTTTTGCCGCCTAATAACATTAAAACGCCTAATAACAGCTTCTTTCTCTGGGTTCAGAAAAGTGGCAGTAAAGATGTAGGCCTGCATAGGTTATTTCCGCGATCTTTTCCAGTTAGTTCAGACTATCGAAAGGGAGCGTTTTCTACAGACTATCCCTGTATTTATTTCCCATAGCCCAACCCACATTTTATTGGATACATAGAACTGGGAAATCGCCGAATGGTTGGACACATCTTCACCAGTGACAATCAACTATTAGGTTGGTAACTTTGAAATGTCGCTTCCTTTAGTGGCTTTGTTTCTCAGCTGAAACTCAACCTCGTAATATGGGAGACCATCCATTCGAGAGAGCGATTCAGTGCGCATATTGCGAAACCTTAGCCGTCAGTGAGCGGATGTTCTTCGAGCCAAAACTTTTGCTCGAAGATGATTGATCAGAAAACATCGCCTGAGCGTGTATATTCAAGCAAGGAAAAACAGCCAACGAATCCCACTCATTACGTGCAAAACATTGAGCAGCAACACTCAGTCTCTGGTGCTGGTGCACTTTCAGCTATGGTTTCAGCTCTTCCAAGACTGAGGTAAAGGAGCTGATGACGATGGTCGTGGATTCTGACCTCTAGCTCCAGATGAAGGAGAAATAAAGAAAGAATTGAGTCCTCGACAAACCGCACAAAACTTGCATGGAGATTCAGTTGTGTCAACAGAAAAATTTGAAAGTTCCTACGTGCGACTGTTAGGGCCTTTCAGGAAGAAAATGGGTTCGGCCTATTCTGAGCGACACGAGCAAGCAGTATTGGTTGCCAATACTTGAACTCTGCTGCATAACTCCAAGAAGAAGAAGGTTCCTGACTTCGTTGAAGGCGTGTTTTACAGAAGGATGTTCCCCGATAACAAAGTGAGAAGATGGCCGTGGTTGGCAACAGCAGCTGAGGGCCTCTCCGAAACCGGACAGCCACAGAGAAAAAGTCTTGCTACAGTGTGGTGAAGCAGTATAAGAATGGCTTACTATGGAGAGCTGATTGTGCGTCATATAGTTACAGCTAAACTCTGCGCACAACATCCCGCAGGCGAGGATCGGGCTCTGCGTAGTCAAAGGGCAAATTCGGTCATTGAAAAATTTTGGCACGATAATGCAAGATCACATGTCGCGAAAATTTTGCAACAAGAAATCGAGGAGTTGGGCTGGGACGCTCTGCCTCTCGCGCCATATAGCTCAGACCTGGCACCGTCCAACTATCACTGACCCAGGTCAGCGCAACACTCCTTAGCAGCAAACCAATTCGATAACCGCGACGACGTCAAAATTTGAGTACCTAACTTCTTCGAGTCGTACCTGGAAGAGTTCTACGAGGTAGACCTCCATGCTTTGCATAACAAAAGGTGGAGAGTGGATGACACACATAAAGGAAATAAATTAGGTTGATAAGCTTTGGTATAGCTTTTATACTTAAATAATCTTTGATCAAAAACGACATTTCAAAGTTACCAACCTAATATTTCTGACTGTTGGAGTCTGGTAGCTAGGATTAGGTTCCCTGTTGATGGAACACTTCACAGGGTCCACAACATCATTTTTAGGAAGACAGAAATCCCATTCGTCGCTGAGGACAAAGTTTTACCTCTCGCCTTCGGTCCATGTTAGCCGTTAGTGTGCGGAAGCCAGTTGGGCCATCCTGCTCTTGAAGCCCAACAATGGCTTCTTGTTGGGACATCATCCGTAATATTCACCAGGTCGCGGCCGATGTTGTGCTGCACTTGGACTTTCATATGATTAGGAAAAAACAAGAAAAGTCGTAGATGGCGGGGATACGGGACGTGCCAACCACCTTCGAAGTATTTTGAGGAGGCCAATTTTCTTGTGAGGATACTTTTTGTGAATGATCATTCTTCTTATGCTTACTCGACTCCAATAACGCTAAAACATTCGATAATATTGCTTCCGTAGAGACTGAACTACAATAGATAATACCAAATTCGTGTTTCGAATTGTAGGGTTTGAAAAGGGACCTCGGCGCTAGGTCAAAAATAAAAAAGTTTCGAAACTTTTGACCGGTAGTGTATGTGCGCATAACCCACATAGGGATATTTGCATAATCGTGCCGTTCGAATCCCTCCCACAACATTTGCACAGTATAGAGAATTCCTGCCAAAAAATTCATTTCAATATGAGAAACTTAGGGAATTTATGGACAGCAACGACTCAAGTCATTGTGGTCGAGTGTACATAGGTAATCGTCTTGAAATGATATTTCTAAAAACTGGATCCTCCATCGTACTTTTGAAAATTAGTTCCACTGCTTTTGAATTACCGTTGAGTAGTTTCTCCAACCATCTCGTCCCTTCGCTTTCATCTGTAATTCATTCAAAGGGCTAGTAAATTAAACACAGAATTGCATTCGAAATCCATTCCAACAGTTTCAAAATCAGGTTTAATTATATTCAATCAATATGTAGTTTAGTGCCCATCAGTGAGCTCACCTTATAGCATCCAGGTACCGGTTCTGTGCTTTACTTTAGTTTTTAGCTGGGTGCCTGTCCGAATGTCTACCTTGATTCGTCTCCGCGATGGCGATATAGCGGGCCTCTCGTGTATTCTCGATCAACAAGCAACGCACGGAGTGCTGCAGATTTAAGAGACTGTCTCAGCCACGACGACGTGGTGGAGTTCCATTTAAAAAGGCAAAGCCTTATCTGAGTGATGCGCTCTCAAGGAAACAACCAGACAGAAGTAGTGTAACCTATTCCCTGGTCTGTAGGATGGACCCCGTAGAATAAACAGCGGTTACAGTCCGAAAATCGCCCACAAGTGCGCCAGTGTCTTGCAAATGACAGCCTCAACACTTTTTTCTTCCAGCCTGCACAGGCTGTTGCCTGGCGCCCTCTCGTCTAGAACGCTCTCTCATCACAGAAGCTCTCTCTCTCAACGCTCCTTTCCTTAGCATATTCGCATTACGAAGAAGAAAAATCCCTTGACTAGAGCGTTTTCGACACACTCGTTCCCTTTCCTTGTCTTTCTGCTGCCGGCCCGTTTCGTACCAATATTATCATATTCGTATGCGTGCTACACCACTTTGATAGTGGCGCATGCCTTCAAGGCAGCAACTAAGTTTTCAGTTAGCACTTTTTGATGGCAAAGTGTGATGCGAAGCTTAGGACACCAATATGGTGGGTATTGTCATAATTATTCACTCACGTCAACTTGATTTTTGATGGTCGCGATCCGATGTTGTCTAACCTTAACAAAGTAGAGCCTTGATAGTGCAGGCATCACTAGAGTGTAGTAGGTGAATAACTGAAAAAAGACGGACGGAGCATGTATGCAATTGGCCATTGGTTGTGTCAAAAAAAGGGCATCCCGTTTCAGTATCGGTCAGGGTGAGCTTGTTGGTAAAGTAATCATTGCAATTATGCGCTATGCCTGTCGCTGTGTGTGTGCCTGCGGGTGTCTCGAAGGCCCGTCACTGCCTCATGATTCATCTCGAAAGCGGGATCGAATTGCGTCAAGGTATAATATGTATCAGACGCCGCCGGTCTCGTCGCAGAGGCCTGTTGTGCAGTAACCATTCTCCGTTTCCCACTTACCTCCATAGCCCTGTGCAGTATACTAAGTGGAATCTTACAAGTGACAATGACACATATATTCGTTAGGAGTGCAATCAATCCTACTCACAATAGTGACATTAAGATAGTAAATGAAATGTGTTATAATAATTATTATACGTTAGCTGCTGCAAATGTCATACGTGGTTGTTTTCCTACATATAACTTAGAGTCACAAGCTAATTATTACCTTATTTGGAAAATTATTACTGTAAGCACGTTATAAATGGAAAGTTCAAAATTACCCATTTTAATTTCGTTTGTGTTTTGCGCTGTTAGTTTGAAAAAACCGCCTTGGTTCAACGGTCATTACAGAATCGCATGGCCGGCGTTTCCGGCCCACCTGATCTTCGATTCTTTGGCTGAGCGGCGACGCTCCTGATCTTAAATTCTTGACGTGGCTCGAAACTGGATTTTGCTTTGCAGTGTGAATAGGATCACTCTAAGCACGGTCCCTTCGCCGGCGAGTAGGACAATGCTGCGGCAGTGTCCCTGATCTTTGATCGTTGGCGTAGTTCCGAACTCCGGATTCCCCTCTGCACTTGCGTGTATAGGGTTACTCCTAGCATCGTCCTCTCGACAGCGCGTTGGATAACGCTGACCGCATGCTCGTCCTGCCTGCGCAGAGTCCAAGTCTCTGAGGCGTAGGTTAGGGCAGGAAGGACAGCGGAATCGAAGAGGTGGGCACGGAGCCGGATGTTCTTCGTCTTCTTCACTACTCCCTCGATGTTCTTGAACGCTCCCCATGCCGCTCGTTTCCTCCTGCTCAGCTCTGGAGCTAGGTCGTTCATCATATTGATTTCCCGACCTAGGTACACGTAGCTGGAGCATTCGGTGATGTTCGTTCCGTTGAGCGTGAATGGGGCATCAGGAAACCAATCCGTTTCTCATAAACATCGTCTTCGTTAGGTTCAGCTGTAGACCGACCTTACCACAGGCGCAGTCGAAATCAGCCAGCATTCGCTCCGCTTGCTCGATGTTCGGCGTTATAAGAACGATGTCGTCAGCAAAACGAATGGTGGCGTAGCTGAGGATGTCGTCGGCAAAGGTTGTGTAGCTGCCGACCGTCGACCTTCACTCCCATGTCTTCCCATTCCAACTGATGACGTTCTCGAGAGCGGCGCTGAAGAGTTTGGGCGAGATGGTGTCCACCCCTCTTGACGTCGATGATGACCTCCTTGTAGAATGGTGAGATTCTGGTCGTAAAGTTGCTGTAGAGCTCACGAAGAATCTTGATGTACTGAGTAGGGACGCCCTGGTTGCCCAAGGCTTCGATGACCGCTTCTGTCTCCACAGAGTCGAAGGCCTTCTTCAAGTCGATGAACGTGAGACAAAGCGGCATCCTTGTACTCTCGTGCAACTTCAGTGAGTCTCTAACGATAAACATGACCGCAACTGTGTAGATAACCTGACTGTTAGGGCTGATAAGTGCCAGTCAGTAAGCCGACAAAGGATTGTATGCACAGAAAGCAAAACGTTTTGCTCCCGTCTCGATACTGATTGGTCTGAACGCTCATTCGACCGCTTCGCCATGTTAGCCTCCGAAAATTGAGGGTAGTGTATGCAGATATATGGAAAATAGAGGTAAATGGCTTTATTATCACAAGCGGTACAGCAGTCCTGCTTCAACGGGGTAAATTATATCATGGAGGAACCTCCATACTGCTAGAACGCTTCAGGCATTCTTTCATTCTTTTTGTTTTCCTAGGAAATAGCAGTCAGGGATGTCCCAGAACAAGAAGAAGCAAACCGGAAAGGCACATGTTAGTCGGACCATCATGTTCAGTAGGTCAAGTTTACTGCTGGTTTGCTGGTCAAGTTTACCCTGTGATGCGCGTTGCATTGCGTGGAGTACTCATTCACTTGAAAAGGAAAGCTACCAAGAAAAGAGAAGATGTTGCATCCCGTAACCATGGCTATCTGAAGTACCGTAAGTGGCATTCTCCACCGAAACTGTCGTGTGACACACACGAGAGAGTGGAGCTGAAATGGTACCCTGAAAGCCTCGCCGCGCTTCTCTTCGAATATGGTTTTTCCGGCCGATCTCCAAATCGCAGTGGTTCCATGGAGTGGGGTTTTTCTTCAAATCCCACTCCCTAATCGTAAAACTCCTAGCATTCTTTCCTACTTTATTTGTACACTTTTTTGAATGCTAATAGACTTTAATGACAAAATACACTACTTATTGAATTACCTAATAGCGCATTATTCAGAGGAGGTTATGACCAAGTAATTCTATGTTACTGATCGATTCCTCTGGAAAACACAGTTGACTCATTTGGCGGTTTACCTAATTCTTGCAGACCGGACTTCCCATTTCGCAAGCTTGAAATACACAACTTCGCAATAAATAGAGAAAAGCACGGAGCGGTTTTGTACAGCGGACAATTTTCTTCCTAGTGTAAGCAATGTGAAAATATGGAAATTTAGAGTACATCCCATCATTTTTCCGCCTAAAAAAGGCATCATTGATCGACATTCTAGTAAATCTTTGCGAAATTCTTTCTGCAGCAATCAAATAAAATGCTGGAAGGCAACGGATTAGATGTACCTTAGTTGCTTGTTCTAAATGTGATTTCACGAGCCAAAAGAAAGAATGGTTGTCATATAATTCGCACTCTCCCAGCCTTCATCTGCTGTGCCGCCGTTTTGCGGAACTCTCGAGAACACTGCTTCTCAAGCAGACACTCCAATGTAGCCTTTCGTCCTCTCGTTATAGTGCTTCCCAGCTGCTGATTGAGACTTAAACTCCTGTTAGTTTCACTATAACTCTTGAGCAAGAAAAGTATCACCATCAAAAGGAATATAAGTGTAGCAGTAAACCAAAATATACCAAAATATCAAACAAGTATTTACCACGGGAGTTATCAGATTGACCAAAAACTTCCGCACTCACTCATTCTGATTGTAAATAAAACCGTTTTGAAGAACAGGGGGTAATGAACAACCCGATTTGCCAACGCTGGAGCGTTTGTCAGCGTCGAGAGTGATTGTGGAATACCTCTAGAGCCAAATGTCGAAAATGTTCAAATGTATGAGGCGCTTCGCATCCACATAAATGTGATCGTTCGTGAAACATCTCGTAACCCTGCTATCTGTGATTGCTACAGCGGACAAATCTATGTAACGCTTGCTAAAAATATTCCTCGTCCAGAACAGTCACACATAACAGTCGTGTCAATAATTCATATCTATATAGCAAAAACCTACAGTGCCGATACGAGCTGTTCTAAGGAAAACATCTGAATCGAAAAGTATCCAATATATCTATCTGGTATCAGGTAGAGTGCATTGCAAAATCCCTTATCTTGGTAACGAGTGGTGATCACTTTGAAAGAACCGCTGAGGAGAGCTTTACTTCGGCTTTATTCTACTTCGCTTTGGCTGTTAGATTTGTTTTGCATGATGATCCTGAAATTGCCATGACCTTGTCGGGAAAAAGTGCGAAAGCGACATCCATGTTGGCATAGACACAGCATGAGAGGGCCTGACTGGACCGTATAACCAAAGCCTCAGGCTCTGAAGCTCAAGTGCAGCGACCATGAGCTCCCCCAAAGAATTAAAGGAACTTTATCCGGAGGATCTGTATGAAACGAGAGACGACATCATGCGTAACGAGAAAGTGGCGACGTATAACAGTGAACCTTGCACTACGGCCCGCCGAGAAAACCAAGAAAGTTGACTACGGCGATAAAATTTTGGAACCATAAGGTTAAGAAATATTCTATGTTAGGTGGTTAGCTTACATCAGTGATTTCTTTTAGTGCAAACGACATAGAACTTTCGGATGCGTAGATTCTCACGCATAATAGTACGCCTTGTGATAAACATAGAGTCGTGAATTGAAGTGTAGAAATGCAAAGGAGCAACTTGGACGCAATCAAATTTTCAGCTGACTGAAACTTCGTAGAAAGTGACATCCTGCAATATTTATAAGAAAAGTGATGGCTATAATCAAAACCAAGAATGCGTACAGTGTAATCGTGAGTGTACAATTTTAAGACGCCACCACATTCCTGTGGAACAAACTAAGAAGGAGTGACCGTTGACGGTGCCTTTTTATTAGCTTGAGTCAAAAGTAAGAGCCAATCTGACATCGGTTTTCAAAATTTCACACCCTTCTTCGAACCTTCTTCACTATTTGCCATGTCTACGACCACGACTGTTTTTGAGTGACCTTCATCTATCCGCAAGTGAATCAATACCTCCCCATGCAGTCCGACGTCATAGATAACTGGAAGTCTCTTTCAAGGAGTTGGTGCGGGTTTTGGTTGGTTACTTCAGTGGATCACAAAGAGCGGAAAGAACCATTCAGCCAAGTTCCTGTGTAGTACTCTGCCACTCGCCAACATGTTCGTTTGCGCAGTTGCGAGTTGCCGGGCGGTGGGCAATTCCATCTATTCACACTTGTGGGATATCGGAAGCAGGCTTACGCAGCTGCAAACAATACGTATCTATGCATTCAGTGATGGTATTGGTTGAACTCTGTAGCGATGCAATCCAACAACCGGAGATTTACTTCGGGTGAAGGTCACCTATTGGAGCTGGATTTCGCTGCTGGGCTGCACGTCGGCTCCGTATATTGTATAGTGCGCACTCCTCATCTAAAATGAGGACTTGTCAAGCAAATCAAATCAGATTTTTGGCTAGCAGAGTTGAGCTGACACGTTTTCCTCCAGCCACCTCATTCGACTCGTGAGGACTCTTTCAAACGAGTTCACATTCCCACGGCTCAATGGGCACAAATGGTTTCCTGGGCGTATTGTAGTTCTACCTCAGTTGCGGATACTGGGCATGGAAGCTCTTGCATGCGTTGAATATCTAGAGCCATAAGGTTTATAAAAGGAGGCTCGTCCTCAGAGCTGTAGCCGCTTTAGTGCGACTTCCCGAATTATTCTCAACAGTTACTCTCTTTTAGGGGGCCTGGTGTTCTAGAAACATTAGTGCATTTCGAACAGAAAATGGTGCTTCTAATTAGACAGTGAACATGGGTTGAAATAGATGGCATTGTTTCTCCAAGACAAGTAGGGACGGAATTTCTTAATATGGAGGGACACTGAAGTCACCACATAACTCTTTGTTATGAACAACACAAACATGTTTTTGGAAAGATGGCACAGATGTGAAAAATCGGCGCTTACTCGTGGCTCAGACTAGCAGTTACATTTCACTGTCGTGTTAGTTGTAGCTACCAAATCTTAACTAAAACAAGCACTTGTCATAATTCCAAATGATTTACCGTGTTTGACGATTTGGAGTAAGAATATGCAGAGCAATAGTGAATGCAAGGCCGGCTATGTTTATCCCTATTAACGTGAAAAGCATCACATTAACTCGAATGGAAATAGTAGGTGAGACCATTCGAGCATGGAAATAGAATCCCTCAAATGTTTGTCCTTGATATAGAACAAAAATAAGTAGAGCAGAAAGCAGCATCTGAATTTTTTTAATGCTAGAGTTTTTTTAATGCTCAAGCCCCATCGGCTATCATAAGTGTATGAATGTTCATGATGGAAACATTCTATGTATCGGTTGGGAGTCCTCGTTCCTGTATGCACTGTGTTCCACCACTTAAGTGAACACTATAGAGTTCCAAAATTGTTTTCAGTAGGTGGTCTTCAGAACCAGAACGAGTACATTCCATGCAAATGAGCAAACAATTAGCGACTAAACCACCTACCGTAGTCCAACGATAACCACAGGCTAGCGTCAGACTCGGCGCATCCTGCGATCCACTAGCGAATCGCAGGGTACGAGCGTTGCACCAGCCCATCGAACAACAGCGACTTGATACTGTTTGAAAGCGGCGGGACTCCTCTCGTCGGCTCTCGCTACTTTCCCGAATTCTAATGTCTCGTGAGCACGCGAAAGTGGCCAACATTCAGAGGGAGTTCCACCACTACTGAACCGCTGGTTCATAACTCGAATCGTCGAATCCGCAAACCTGATAACAGCCTTCAAACGTGGAAAGAAAAGCCGTTGATTTTGCGGTGAGCTACTCTATGCTTCGCGATAGGAAGCTGTATTAATTCCCCTCATGGAATTTGAGGAAATTCGTGCTGCTGAGTAAACCGATAAAGATATTACTCTTGAATATGTTTGATAAGATTGAATATCAAACACATTCTAGTTCTGTGGGCAAATGCATTTTCTTCTACCCGCTAAAACGAGCTTAATGTTCTTAATATTTTTTTTCCGCTTGACTCACTCACTTGATCTAGCGCGGCCGACACATAACAAAATTGCCTCAAATTACACATTACATACAAAATCAAGTCCAGAATACGACGGGAAGAATAATTTCCAAAAACTATAATCATATTTGAGAAATAAGATTTTTTTCAAGTAATGGCGCGTCAAAAGTTTGGAAACTTTTTGTTTCCCTCATCATTATGATTCCTACTCTTCAATGTTTACTTGTTTCTGTTAATTTTAGTTCAACCATTGAGTATGTAATTTCAAAATGAATTCATATGCAAAGGAAGCAGTTTTTCCATGGGAGGTCCTTTTTTAAACCCTACAATCCGGAATACAAAAATTGAAACTGTTTCTTAGTAGTTCAGTCTCTTGGAAGC